CGGCGACGTCGCTCAGGTTTTTATTTCTGGAGTAGGCAACAATTAATTTATTTTGGTATATGCGCGGAAAGGTTTCCTTTAGTTGTTCATAATACCTTTTGATAATTTTAGTTGCGTGATAAGCGGTACTGTTGTATTGGATGACAAGGGGGAGAATTTGGGTGTTGAAGAGAACGTTAATTCCGTTTGGAGAGATTGTATTCAGTTTCTTCATCCAGAAGTCCTCTCTCATCAAACGGAATTTTCTCGTTTCTTCCTTGTCATCCCTTTCCTTTATTTTTTCTATGGGGGTAATTGTTAGATCAGCTATAGAGTGATTGTCTTGGTTGAAATGTAGGGAGATGGGTTTGTCCGTATTTCTTCTGATATCTGATAGATGCCCCAATAGTCTTTCCCTCAAGCAATTCTGTGATTCACCGACGTACTGACTGGGACAGCGTGAGCAGGAGATTAGGTACACTAAATTAGAGGTTTCGCACGTAAGCCTCTCACTGATAGGAAACTTGGTGTTCGAAATTTTATTTTCGAATGAATTAGTACGTTTGAGGTATCTGCATATGCTGCATCGCATGCTTATGCACGGCATGGCTCCAAATTGTTGAAAGGGTAGAACTGGAATTATACTGTTAGTTTTAATGTCCTTCAAAGTGGTACTTTTGATTGTTCTTAAAAATCGCTTCGAGTAGCCCCGTTCTCGGAGTTTGTCGAAGACGATTTTAACCGCGTGTTCAAAATCAGTATTACGCGTACAAATTCGGTGGAAGCGGAGAATCTGGGACTTGATAATGCCCGAAAACGTATGTTTTGGGTGAAAGGAGGATTTGAATAAAAGTTGGTGGGTGTCTGTTTCTTTGAAAAAGACCTTAATATCCAGTTTTCCCGTGTCATTCAGATTGTCTCCCTTGAATACTGTCGTATCCAAGAAATCTATGCTTTTGTCACTGACGTTAGCAGTTAGTTTGATGGAAGGGTGATGGGTGTTTAGGATGTGGAAGTACTGCCAGAATTGTTCTAAAGAGTGGGGCCAAACTATGAAGATGTCATCTAAAAATCTTCCATAAAAAGTTGGTTGTAGGGGGCAGAGTGGTAAGAGTTCTCTTTCCCATTCTGCCATACAAATATTGGCAAAACTGGGGCTATAAATTTGTCCCATAGAGATGCCAGTCGTTTGGAGGTATGTTTGTTCATTGAAAATAAAGTCATTGCGTGTAAGGCAGATTTCTAAGAGTTCCAAAATTTCTCTGTCCGGACGCGATTTGACAGGATTTCTCAAAAAGGCCTTCCGAACCGCGTTAAGGCCAGTGATGTTATCAATATTTGTGTACATACTCTGTACATCGATCGATATTAATAACGCATTCGGCGGAACATTAAGTTTCTTAATTTGTTCAATAAAGTGGTTGGTATCCTTTAGATAGGCCGGGTGCTGGGATGCCAGTGGTTTTAGAAAAGAGTCAATGTATTCAGAGACATTGTGACACTCGCTCGAACAGTCCGACACTATGGGCTGACCTTTAGGTATTCTGTTCGGCATGAACCACTCCGTTTCAGGATTTTTGTCGATTTTCGGGAGAGTGTAAAAGTGTCTCTGGCGGCAGTTAGGCTTCGCGGAAAGGTAGTCAAATTGTTTGGGATTAATGAACTTATTAGTCACCAATTTTTCTAAAATGCGGTTGATCATTAAACCGGTTTCCATAAAAATTGGTTCTGAGAGTTTCTTGTAATACTACTCGTTACTAAGTTGCTTTTCAGCTTCTAGTATATAGTCATTTCGATTGAGTATGACACAGCATGAGCCCTTGTCACTCTTTTTTATGACGATGGACTTGTCATTTTTGAGTGCGTTAAGTGCCGATCGTTCCTCTCGTGTCAGGTTGCTCCGTTCTTTTGAGATTGGAAGATCAGCTATCTCGCTTTTCATGGTATCTAAATGGACTAGAATATCCCCTCTAATGGCCGCGTTGGGAGGTGTCCAGTCAGATTTTTCAATAAATTTGGTATGGCCCGTCTTGCGGGGTTTGTCGCGGAAAAAATAGGTCAATTTGATAAGTCTGGAAAATTGGTCAGCCGATTCTAAGATATCATCGACAGTGGTCGGTTGAGGGGAAGGTATGAATTTGAGACCCTTGTCGAGTATTTGCCTTTCCAAGGGTGAGATAGAGCGTGAACTCAGGTTTACAACCGTTTTGCCGAGTTGGGAGGCTGGAGTTTGAGTGGGGGTTAGTTGTGTAGCGTTTTCAACAAGGCCCCCCTCAGACTCTAGTTTAAAGACTCGACAGCTTTAAGCCAGTGGTTAAATTGTCTGTCAGCAGTAATGGCTGTCCAATGGATCTTATCAGCTGCGTTGACATGGACCACTGAGTGATCAAGTTCGATGACTCTTGCGTGCTTCGGTGGTTCCGTGAGCAAGTAGTGGTTGAGAGTTGTCAGGTTTTCACAAGGTCTGGCTCCTTCTTTCTGTTTGAGGGTTGGGGAGAACGGAATTTGGGCTATGAAGATGGCGGTATTGGGGAATTTTGACTTGGTAGTGGCAATAAGTTCTGTGAACGCCGTGTGTGTTGTTCGGGGGTGTTCTTTCCTATTGTTGGTACCAATTTGGAATATGATGTTTTTTGGTTGACCAGTGTGCGTGTAGGCTTTAATCATGTCTATCAGGTGTAGGATCTTGGCTCCCCCATACGATTCGATTTGTACACCCACTCTCCCTTTGGGTATACGACTGAGGTTCGAGCTACCTAGCACTAAAGTGGGTTTGACGATACCGGGGAGGGACCAAGACGCTTTGTTGTTACCTTTGCCATCGTGATACCTAAGGCCAAGCACCTGCTTGTTTTGTGGGGTGGGGACTCTATGAGTACTCATGTCTAGGCTAAGGCGGTTGGATTGGCGGTATGGTTTGACGCGTGGGGGTGGGGAAAAGCTTATTCTTTTACTCACGGGAGATCTGCTAGGGGTGGAGAAATTTTGATTAGCAATTACGGGAGACACAGTGCCTTCCGAATTGTAGTTATCCGACACAGTGTCGTTTGATGTATTGAGTTTGTCAACTAGAGTGTCAAGATTCGAATTAGCGGAAAGGGAGGGAGAGGGGCGACTATCCTTCTTCTTCCTGGGCGTTGACGGGTTGGCGGTCCGTGGAGATGTAGAGCGTCCTCTCTTGCGGCTTGGCGTGTCGACCTCTATAGCAGTTGGTCGTGTAGAGATGGAGGGAGTTGGGTCAACGTCCATTGATGCAGTCTGTTTTGGGGGTGGGGGAGTCCCTGGGTTAGGGTTAGGGTTCGGGTTAGACTTATCCTTGTCATTCGTTTGTCCGATAAGTTGCAGGTATTTTGATTTCGTCGTGGTGTTCATTTTCCTTCCGAATGATTTCTTGGACCATGATAACGCGGCATTAGATAGAGAACGTAGTGATTTGATCGTGTGAGAAGTTTTGAGTCTTAAGCCAGTCTAATTTAGAACCAAGGGTCTTCTCATAGTGAGAAGTGAGTTCTGTGGTTAGGGTTAGGGTTTGGTTAGGGTTAGGGTACAGGCACGAGTGCGAGATTGATCCAGGATGATCCGCTTCCAATTGAAGATTTTAATGCAAAATGCCACTTTGTCATTTCTATTCGCCCTCTATCTGGTAAGGGTAGTTCCTCCGCTTCTTATAAGGAAGAAAACGGCCATACTTAGTTTTCTGTGGTAGAGAATGAAGAAAATTTATTTTCAAGAAAACCGGGTAATCAATTGACAGTGTAGACAATCGGTAAGATTATTAGTCTATGTGGGGCAATGGATGTATTCTACAGATTCTGGTTGTTAATTTAGGTGCTTACAATGTCAGTGTTTATGATTTTCCCGTAAAATCGTGCTTGTCAGCTGAGCTTGAAAGACCGGTTGTCTCTGCGAAATAATGCATTACGCTCGCTTTGGACTCGTTAAAATATGAATAAAACCTAACTAACGCATGTTAGTTAGTCTGATAAGTCCCGAGGAAGTGTCACCAGATGCTTTTTTTTTTTTTTTTTTTTTTTTTTTTTTAATCAATCTGGACTGGAAGTGAATAAAATAACAATGTGGCATCGATCGTTTCGATGATCTAAGGCCTCGGGAAATGTTTATAGTATGTGCTAATACTTGTCACGTATTACACGGTAGCATATACTCGGATTCGCGGAAGAAATTCATTTTTTAAAAAAAAAACCCGCACAAAACATCTTTATCATCGAAAAATCAGATGATTTTAATTAATGGTAGTTTGTAGATTGTAGGACCAGCGGAAGCGCTGCCGTGGCCAACCCTGTCGTTTAGAAAATGTAGCGAAATTGTGAACTTTGTAAAAAATTTTAAACACATGTAGAACGATAATGAAGTAAACTAGATAGAAAGTGCTGGATGAAAGACATGACATATATATTAGTACTTAGTTACAAACGCCTAAAAAAGGAATCGAGGTATCGGCATGAAAATTTTTCAGGCACGCTTGCCATAGGGATGAAGAGTTTGGAAGTCGTGTTCCAGGAGGTAACCGTTCGTAGCGCCATCTGTGTTGGCAACGGGCATAGCAACCAAACTGTCATGGCGTCGTGTGTGAAGAGGAAAAAGGTATTGAAGAGAAATCGGTCAAAAACAAGAAGGCAAGTGATTACTTTGACATGTTATCTGTCCCCGTAGCTGCTTTGAGCTCTTGGGACATTGACACGAACACGTACATACGGAAGACAGTGTGTTATAATGGAAATTTTGCCCGGAAAGCGGCAAATTCTTGTTTCGAATTCCGACTGTCAAGTATTCTTTTCTGCGTGCTGTCCGATGCGAACCACAGTGGAGAATGACCATGAAATTTCTCTGCCAACGCAGGGATTGCACACGGAACCTCCATGTTAGCGAGCCAACGTCTTAATGACTGAACCCACCACAACTCCCATGGCATGTAAAATATTCAGCTGAAGTTAATTTACTACTTCGGCACTGTTGGTATGCACAAGTAAAATAATCATCCTCTTTTGTATTGTAGGACAACCCGAAAGAAATGGCTCCTACTTGTATGACATGGGTCGACTGACACCGGGATTCCACCTTTTGAAGCAATACCCAACAAGAGAAAGATTTTCAATGCTTGATTTCCAAGACACAATGGTATTTTACGCTCACACTGACCATATTAAAATAAAACGATTGGTAATTGCCCGGAAAGCAGCAAATTCTTGTTTCGAATTCCGACTGTCAAGTATTCTTTTCTTCGTGCTGTCTGATGCGAACCACAGTGGAGAATGACCATGAAATTTCTCTGCCAACGCAGGGATTGCACACGGAACCTCCATGTTAGCGAGCCAACGTCTTAATGACTGAACCCACCACAACTCCCATGGCATGTAAAATATTCAGCTGAAGTTAATTTACTACTTCGGCACTGTTGGTATCCACAAGTAAAATAATCATCCTCTTTTGTATTGTAGGACAACCCGAAAGAAATGGCTCTTACTTGTATGACATGGGTCGACTGACACCGGGATTCCACCTTTTGAAGCAATACCCAACAAGAGAAAGATTTTCAATGCTTGATTTCCAAGACACAATGGTATTTTACACTCACACTGACCATATTAAAATACAACGATTGGTAATTGCCCGGAAAGCAGCAAATTCTTGTTTCGAATTCCGACTGTCAAGTATTCTTTTCTTCGTGCTGTCCGATGCGAACCACAGTGGAGAATGACCATGAAATTTTACACTCACACTGACCATATTAAAATACAACGATTGGTAATAGACAAAATGGTGGAAGCATAAAGACCGTCCTCGATGCAATCAACAAATTGTTTCGAAACCGACAATAGTGGATGCACACTGATGTGCAGTGAAATTTCGTTAGGCCGCTACAACGTTAGCTTGAAGTATATCTGGATATACTATATGTAGTGTAAATTCTGCCTGTTTATGCCGTGACATATTATGTAATTATGTAAGCAATGGACTTGCCATCGAGCCAATGATGAACCATGTTTGATGTGATGCAGTATACCTCTGTGAAAGCTGGTAGCAGTTATAACAACAAGAACTATTTTGTTTTTACAAGTGAAATGTATTGTGCACTGATAAGCAATAATATACTTTACTTTGGGGCCATTCCTACCAATTTGAATTGTTGCATAGAACGTAATGGGATGTTGGTCTCAAAGTACCTATTAGGAACCCCCAAATAACGAGGGTTTTTTTCGCATCACCACTGGTATATATTGTTTTGAACCGCGAACGGCTTTAGCCGTGAAGCTCTGTGATATTTAGAAGCGACAAATGCGAACCAAATGTTAGAAATTACTATCCCTGGCCAATATCAATGCGAAAGTTGTTGGGTGTTTAAAAATGAACTTTGTATTGACTATATTTAATTTCTTGTCTGTGCCAAATGAATTACAAAATTATGTCATTTTCTGTTGAGATGACTGCTTTTTTTTAAAAACAGATTGGAATTAATAAATATGCTTGGTAGAGTTATCTGCCCTTTTCATGAAAGCTGGCAGCAGTTATAACAACAAGAACTATTTTGTTTTTACAAGTGAAATGTATTGTGCACTGATGAGCAATGATATACTTTACAAATTTGAATTGTTTTCCGGAGTACTTAGGCCTGTCTTTCTTAAAATGTCAGTGTTTTTTTGTGGGTAGATAGAATAGAATGAAAACTTGCTGTTGAGATAGAAAGGTATACTGCTTGTTGCATTGCACGTAATCGTATGTTAGGTTCAAAGTACCTATTAGGACCCCCCCAAATAACGAGGGTTTTTTTCGCATCACCACTGGTATATATTGTTTTGAACCGCGAACGGCTTTAGCCGTGAAGCTCTGTGATATTTAGAAGCGACAAATGCGAACCAAATGTTAGAAATTACTATCCCTGGCCAATATCAATGCGAAAGTTGTTGGGTGTTTAAAAATGAACTTTGTATCGACTATATTTAATTTCTTGTCTGTGCCAAATGAATTACAAAATTGTGTCATTTTCTGTTGAGATGACTGCTTTTTTTAAAAACAGATTGGAATTAATAAATATGCTTGGTAGAGTTATCTGCCCTTTTCATGAAAGCTGGCAGCAGTTATAACAACAAGAACTATTTTTGTTTTTACAAGTGAAATGTATTGTGCACTGATGGGCAATAATATACTTTACAAATTTGAATTGTTTTCTGGAGTACTTAGGCCTGTCTTTCTTAAAATGTCAGTGTTTTTTGTGGGCAGATAGAATAGAATGAAAACTTGCTGTTGAGATAGAAAGATATACTGCTTGTTGCATTGCACGTAATCGTATGTTGGGCTCAAAGTACCTATTAGGACCCCCCCAAATAACGAGGGTTTTTTTCGCATCACCACTGGTATATATTGTTTTGAACCGCGAACGGCTTTAGCCGTGAAGCTCTGTGATATATAGAAGCGACAAATGCGAACCAAATGTTAGAAATTACTATCCCTGGCCAATATCAATGCGAAAGTTGTTGGGTGTTTAAAAATGAACTTTGTATTGACTATATTTAATTTCTTGTCTGTGCCAAATGAATTACAAAATTATGTCATTTTCTGTTGAGATGACTGCTTTTTTTAAAAACAGATTGGAATTAATAAATATGCTTGGTAGAGTTATCTGCCCTTTTCATGAAAGCTGGCAGCAGTTATAACAACAAGAACTATTTTTGTTTTTACAAGTGAAATGTATTGTGCACTGATGGGCAATAATATACTTTACAAATTTGAATTGTTTTCTTTAGTACTTAGGCCTGTCTTTCTTAAAATGTCAGTGTTTTTTTGTGGGCAGATAGAATAGAATGAAAACTTGCTGTTGAGATAGAAAGATATACTGCTTGTTGCATTGCACGTAATCGTATGTTAGGTTCAAAGTACCTATTAGGACCCCCCCCAAATAACGAGGGTTTTTTTCGCATCACCACTGGTATATATTGTTTTGAACCGCGAACGGCTTTAGCCGTGAAGCTCTGTGATATTTAGAAGCGACAAATGCGAACCAAATGTTAGAAATTACTATCCCTGGCCAATATCAATGCGAAAGTTGTTGGGTGTTTAAAAATGAACTTTGTATTGACTATATTTAATTTCTTGTCTGTGCCAAATGAATTACAAAATTATGTCATTTTCTGTTGAGATGATTGCTTTTTTTTAAAAACAGATTGGAATTAATAAATATGCTTGGTAGAGTTATCTGCCCTTTTCATGAAAGCTGGCAGCAGTTATAACAACAAGAACTATTTTGTTTTTACAAGTGAAATGTATTGTGCACTGATGAGCAATGATATACTTTACAAATTTGAATTGTTTTCCGGAGTACTTAGGCCTGTCTTTCTTAAAATGTCAGTGTTTTTTTGTGGGTAGATAGAATAGAATGAAAACTTGCTGTTGAGATAGAAAGGTATACTGCTTGTTGCATTGCACGTAATCGTATGTTAGGTTCAAAGTACCTATTAGGACCCCCCCAAATAACGAGGTTTTTTTTCGCATCACCACTGGTATATATTGTTTTGAACCGCGAACGGCTTTAGCCGTGAAGCTCTGTGATATTTAGAAGCGACAAATGCGAACCAAATGTTAGAAATTACTATCCCTGGCCAATATCAATGCGAAAGTTGTTGGGTGTTTAAAAATGAACTTTGTATCGACTATATTTAATTTCTTGTCTGTGCCAAATGAATTACAAAATTGTGTCATTTTCTGTTGAGATCACTGTTTTTTTTTTTTTTACACAGATTGGAATGAATAAATATTGTTAATAGAGTTATCTGCCATTTTCATTTCCATTTCCAACAAAAACTGAAATGTCACCATTGCAAATGTACAGGCCTTTAATATCGAGACACTTATCTGTAGATTTAAGTTCACATTTCCAGCCTTGCAAGGAAGGGTCTATTCCCTCGTATGGTACGTAAAAGAGCCCTCGACACTTGGAATTTGAAGGAAAAAAATTGGTCGTTGTGCCGCTGTCCAGGCAAAATGTCCCTCACAACACCGTGTTTGGCCTATGCCGAAATCGCAAGCTCCGGCACTGAGTGGGTGGAGGGTGGGGTTTAGATTCCCCAATTGAACGCCTGTCCAACTTCGTGGGTTTCTTCCCACCGCTAATGACCCATTGTGTTGCTAGGGGATTTTCTAGGGTTAGGGTACAGGCACGAGTGCGAGATTGAACCAGGATGATCCGCTTCCAATTGAAGATTTTAATGCAAAATGCCACTTTGTCATTTCTATTCGCCCTCTATCTGGTAAAGGTAGTTCCTCCGCTTCTTATAAGGAAGAAAACGGCCATACTTAGTTTTCTGTGGTAGAGAATGAAGAAAATTTATTTTCAAGAAAACCGGGTAATCAATTGACAGTGTAGACAATCGGTAAGATTATTAGTCTATGTGGGGCAATGGATGTATTCTACAGATTCTGGTTGTTAATTTAGGTGCTTACAATGTCAGTGTTTATGATTTTCCCGTAAAATCGTGCTTGTCAGCTGAGCTTGAAAGACCGGTTGTCTCTGCGAAATAATGCATTACGCTCGCTTTGGACTCGTTAAAATATGAATAAAACCTAACTAACGCATGTTAGTTAGTCTGATAAGTCCCGAGGAAGTGTCACCAGATGCTTTTTTTTTTTTTTTTTTTTTTTTTTTTTTTTAATCAATCTGGACTGGAAGTGAATAAAATAACAATGTGGCATCGATCGTTTCGATGATCTAAGGCCTCGGGAAATGTTTATAGTATGTGCTAATACTTGTCACGTATTACACGGTAGCATATACTCGGATTCGCGGAAGAAATTCATTTTTTAAAAAAAAAAACCCGCACAAAACATCTTTATCATCGAAAAATCAGATGATTTTAATTAATGGTAGTTTGTAGATTGTAGGACCAGCGGAAGCGCTGCCGTGGCCAACCCTGTCGTTTAGAAAATGTAGCGAAATTGTGAACTTTGTAAAAAATTTTAAACACATGTAGAACGATAATGAAGTAAACTAGATAGAAAGTGCTGGATGAAAGACATGACATATATATTAGTACTTAGTTACAAACGCCTAAAAAAGGAATCGAGGTATCGGCATGAAAATTTTTCAGGCACGCTTGCCATAGGGATGAAGAGTTTGGAAGTCGTGTTCCAGGAGGTAACCGTTCGTAGCGCCATCTGTGTTGGCAACGGGCATAGCAACCAAACTGTCATGGCGTCGTGTGTGAAGAGGAAAAAGGTATTGAAGAGAAATCGGTCAAAAACAAGAAGGCAAGTGATTACTTTGACATGTTATCTGTCCCCGTAGCTGCTTTGAGCTCTTGGGACATTGACACGAACACGTACATACGGAAGACAGTGTGTTATAATGGAAATTTTGCCCGGAAAGCGGCAAATTCTTGTTTCGAATTCCGACTGTCAAGTATTCTTTTCTGCGTGCTGTCCGATGCGAACCACAGTGGAGAATGACCATGAAATTTCTCTGCCAACGCAGGGATTGCACACGGAACCTCCATGTTAGCGAGCCAACGTCTTAATGACTGAACCCACCACAACTCCCATGGCATGTAAAATATTCAGCTGAAGTTAATTTACTACTTCGGCACTGTTGGTATGCACAAGTAAAATAATCATCCTCTTTTGTATTGTAGGACAACCCGAAAGAAATGGCTCCTACTTGTATGACATGGGTCGACTGACACCGGGATTCCACCTTTTGAAGCAATACCCAACAAGAGAAAGATTTTCAATGCTTGATTTCCAAGACACAATGGTATTTTACGCTCACACTGACCATATTAAAATAAAACGATTGGTAATTGCCCGGAAAGCAGCAAATTCTTGTTTCGAATTCCGACTGTCAAGTATTCTTTTCTTCGTGCTGTCTGATGCGAACCACAGTGGAGAATGACCATGAAATTTCTCTGCCAACGCAGGGATTGCACACGGAACCTCCATGTTAGCGAGCCAACGTCTTAATGACTCAACCCACCACAACTCCCATGGCATGTAAAATATTCAGCTGAAGTTAATTTACTACTTCGGCACTGTTGGTATCCACAAGTAAAATAATCATCCTCTTTTGTATTGTAGGACAACCCGAAAGAAATGGCTCTTACTTGTATGACATGGGTCGACTGACACCGGGATTCCACCTTTTGAAGCAATACCCAACAAGAGAAAGATTTTCAATGCTTGATTTCCAAGACACAATGGTATTTTACACTCACACTGACCATATTAAAATACAACGATTGGTAATTGCCCGGAAAGCAGCAAATTCTTGTTTCGAATTCCGACTGTCAAGTATTCTTTTCTTCGTGCTGTCCGATGCGAACCACAGTGGAGAATGACCATGAAATTTTACACTCACACTGACCATATTAAAATACAACGATTGGTAATAGACAAAATGGTGGAAGCATAAAGACCGTCCTCGATGCAATCAACAAATTGTTTCGAAACCGACAATAGTGGATGCACACTGATGTGCAGTGAAATTTCGTTAGGCCGCTACAACGTTAGCTTGAAGTATATCTGGATATACTATATGTAGTGTAAATTCTGCCTGTTTATGCCGTGACATATTATGTAATTATGTAAGCAATGGACTTGCCATCGAGCCAATGATGAACCATGTTTGATGTGATGCAGTATACCTCTGTGAAAGCTGGTAGCAGTTATAACAACAAGAACTATTTTGTTTTTACAAGTGAAATGTATTGTGCACTGATAAGCAATAATATACTTTACTTTGGGGCCATTCCTACCAATTTGAATTGTTGCATAGAACGTAATGGGATGTTGGTCTCAAAGTACCTATTAGGAACCCCCAAATAACGAGGGTTTTTTTCGCATCACCACTGGTATATATTGTTTTGAACCGCGAACGGCTTTAGCCGTGAAGCTCTGTGATATTTAGAAGCGACAAATGCGAACCAAATGTTAGAAATTACTATCCCTGGCCAATATCAATGCGAAAGTTGTTGGGTGTTTAAAAATGAACTTTGTATTGACTATATTTAATTTCTTGTCTGTGCCAAATGAATTACAAAATTATGTCATTTTCTGTTGAGATGACTGCTTTTTTTAAAAACAGATTGGAATTAATAAATATGCTTGGTAGAGTTATCTGCCCTTTTCATGAAAGCTGGCAGCAGTTATAACAACAAGAACTATTTTTGTTTTTACAAGTGAAATGTATTGTGCACTGATGGGCAATAATATACTTTACAAATTTGAATTGTTTTCTGGAGTACTTAGGCCTGTCTTTCTTAAAATGTCAGTGTTTTTTGTGGGCAGATAGAATAGAATGAAAACTTGCTGTTGAGATAGAAAGATATACTGCTTGTTGCATTGCACGTAATCGTATGTTGGGCTCAAAGTACCTATTAGGACCCCCCCAAATAACGAGGGTTTTTTTCGCATCACCACTGGTATATATTGTTTTGAACCGCGAACGGCTTTAGCCGTGAAGCTCTGTGATATATAGAAGCGACAAATGCGAACCAAATGTTAGAAATTACTATCCCTGGCCAATATCAATGCGAAAGTTGTTGGGTGTTTAAAAATGAACTTTGTATTGACTATATTTAATTTCTTGTCTGTGCCAAATGAATTACAAAATTATGTCATTTTCTGTTGAGATGACTGCTTTTTTTAAAAACAGATTGGAATTAATAAATATGCTTGGTAGAGTTATCTGCCCTTTTCATGAAAGCTGGCAGCAGTTATAACAACAAGAACTATTTTTGTTTTTACAAGTGAAATGTATTGTGCACTGATGGGCAATAATATACTTTACAAATTTGAATTGTTTTCTGGAGTACTTAGGCCTGTCTTTCTTAAAATGTCAGTGTTTTTTTGTGGGCAGATAGAATAGAATGAAAACTTGCTGTTGAGATAGAAAGATATACTGCTTGTTGCATTGCACGTAATCGTATGTTAGGTTCAAAGTACCTATTAGGACCCCCCCCAAATAACGAGGGTTTTTTTCGCATCACCACTGGTATATATTGTTTTGAACCGCGAACGGCTTTAGCCGTGAAGCTCTGTGATATTTAGAAGCGACAAATGCGAACCAAATGTTAGAAATTACTATCCCTGGCCAATATCAATGCGAAAGTTGTTGGGTGTTTAAAAATGAACTTTGTATTGACTATATTTAATTTCTTGTCTGTGCCAAATGAATTACAAAATTATGTCATTTTCTGTTGAGATGATTGCTTTTTTTTAAAAACAGATTGGAATTAATAAATATGCTTGGTAGAGTTATCTGCCCTTTTCATGAAAGCTGGCAGCAGTTATAACAACAAGAACTATTTTGTTTTTACAAGTGAAATGTATTGTGCACTGATGAGCAATGATATACTTTACAAATTTGAATTGTTTTCCGGAGTACTTAGGCCTGTCTTTCTTAAAATGTCAGTGTTTTTTTGTGGGTAGATAGAATAGAATGAAAACTTGCTGTTGAGATAGAAAGGTATACTGCTTGTTGCATTGCACGTAATCGTATGTTAGGTTCAAAGTACCTATTAGGACCCCCCCAAATAACGAGGGTTTTTTTCGCATCACCACTGGTATATATTGTTTTGAACCGCGAACGGCTTTAGCCGTGAAGCTCTGTGATATTTAGAAGCGACAAATGCGAACCAAATGTTAGAAATTACTATCCCTGGCCAATATCAATGCGAAAGTTGTTGGGTGTTTAAAAATGAACTTTGTATCGACTATATTTAATTTCTTGTCTGTGCCAAATGAATTACAAAATTGTGTCATTTTCTGTTGAGATCACTGTTTTTTTTTTTTTTACACAGATTGGAATGAATAAATATTGTTAATAGAGTTATCTGCCATTTTCATTTCCATTTCCAACAAAAACTGAAATGTCACCATTGCAAATGTACAGGCCTTTAATATCGAGACACTTATCTGTAGATTTAAGTTCACATTTCCAGCCTTGCAAGGAAGGGTCTATTCCCTCGTATGGTACGTAAAAGAGCCCTCGACACTTGGAATTTGAAGGAAAAAAATTGGTCGTTGTGCCGCTGTCCAGGCAAAATGTCCCTCACAACACCGTGTTTGGCCTATGCCGAAATCGCAAGCTCCGGCACTGAGTGGGTGGAGGGTGGGGTTTAGATTCCCCAATTGAACGCCTGTCCAACCTCGTGGGTTTCTTCCCACCGCTAATGACCCATTGTGTTGCTAGGGGATTTTCTAGGGTTAGGGTTAGGGTACAGGCACGAGTGCGAGATTGAACCAGGATGATCCGCTTCCAATTGTAGATTTTAATGCAAAATGCCACTTTATCATTTCTATTCGCCCTCTATCTGGTAAAGGTAGTTCCTCCGCTTCTTATAAGGAAGAAAACGGCCATACTTAGTTTTCTGTGGTAGAGAATGAAGAAAATTTATTTTCAAGAAAACCGGGTAATCAATTGACAGTGTAGACAATCGGTAAGATTATTAGTCTATGTGGGGCAATGGATGTATTCTACAGATTCTGGTTGTTAATTTAGGTGCTTACAATGTCAGTGTTTATGATTTTCCCGTAAAATCGTGCTTGTCAGCTGAGCTTGAAAGACCGGTTGTCTCTGCGAAATAATGCATTACGCTCGCTTTGGACTCGTTAAAATATGAATAAAACCTAACTAACGCATGTTAGTTAGTCTGATAAGTCCCGAGGAAGTGTCACCAGATGCTTTTTTTTTTTTTTTTTTTTTTTTTTTTAATCAATCTGGACTGGAAGTGAATAAAATAACAATGTGGCATCGATCGTTTCGATGATCTAAGGCCTCGGGAAATGTTTATAGTATGTGCTAATACTTGTCACGTATTACACGGTAGCATATACTCGGATTCGCGGAAGAAATTCATTTTTTAAAAAAAAAACCCGCACAAAACATCTTTATCATCGAAAAATCAGATGATTTTAATTAATGGTAGTTTGTAGATTGTAGGACCAGCGGAAGCGCTGCCGTGGCCAACCCTGTCGTTTAGAAAATGTAGCGAAATTGTGAACTTTGTAAAAAATTTTAAACACATGTAGAACGATAATGAAGTAAACTAGATAGAAAGTGCTGGATGAAAGACATGACATATATATTAGTACTTAGTTACAAACGCCTAAAAAAGGAATCGAGGTATCGGCATGAAAATTTTTCAGGCACGCTTGCCATAGGGATGAAGAGTTTGGAAGTCGTGTTCCAGGAGGTAACCGTTCGTAGCGCCATCTGTGTTGGCAACGGGCATAGCAACCAAACTGTCATGGCGTCGTGTGTGAAGAGGAAAAAGGTATTGAAGAGAAATCGGTCAAAAACAAGAAGGCAAGTGATTACTTTGACATGTTATCTGTCCCCGTAGCTGCTTTGAGCTCTTGGGACATTGACACGAATACGTACATACGGAAGACAGTGTGTTATAATGGAAATTTTGCCCGGAAAGCGGCAAATTCTTGTTTCGAATTCCGACTGTCAAGTATTCTTTTCTGCGTGCTGTCCGATGCGAACCACAGTGGAGAATGACCATGAAATTTCTCTGCCAACGCAGGGATTGCACACGGAACCTCCATGTTAGCGAGCCAACGTCTTAATGACTGAACCCACCACAACTCCCATGGCATGTAAAATATTCAGCTGAAGTTAATTTACTACTTCGGCACTGTTGGTATGCACAAGTAAAATAATCATCCTCTTTTGTATTGTAGGACAACCCGAAAGAAATGGCTCCTACTTGTATGACATGGGTCGACTGACACCGGGATTCCACCTTTTGAAGCAATACCCAACAAGAGAAAGATTTTCAATGCTTGATTTCCAAGACACAATGGTATTTTACGCTCACACTGACCATATTAAAATAAAACGATTGGTAATTGCCCGGAAAGCAGCAAATTCTTGTTTCGAATTCCGACTGTCAAGTATTCTTTTCTTCGTGCTGTCTGATGCGAACCACAGTGGAGAATGACCATGAAATTTCTCTGCCAACGCAGGGATTGCACACGGAACCTCCATGTTAGCGAGCCAACGTCTTAATGACTGAACCCACCACAACTCCCATGGCATGTAAAATATTCAGCTGAAGTTAATTTACTACTTCGGCACTGTTGGTATCCACAAGTAAAATAATCATCCTCTTTTGTATTGTAGGACAACCCGAAAGAAATGGCTCTTACTTGTATGACATGGGTCGACTGACACCGGGATTCCACCTTTTGAAGCAATACCCAACAAGAGAAAGATTTTCAATGCTTGATTTCCAAGACACAATGGTATTTTACACTCACACTGACCATATTAAAATACAACGATTGGTAATTGCCCGGAAAGCAGCAAATTCTTGTTTCGAATTCCGACTGTCAAGTATTCTTTTCTTCGTGCTGTCCGATGCGAACCACAGTGGAGAATGACCATGAAATTTTACACTCACACTGACCATATTAAAATACAACGATTGGTAATAGACAAAATGGTGGAAGCATAAAGACCGTCCTCGATGCAATCAACAAATTGTTTCGAAACCGACAATAGTGGATGCACACTGATGTGCAGTGAAATTTCGTTAGGCCGCTACAACGTTAGCTTGAAGTATATCTGGATATACTATATGTAGTGTAAATTCTGCCTGTTTATGCCGTGACATATTATGTAATTATGTAAGCAATGGACTTGCCATCGAGCCAATGATGAACCATGTTTGATGTGATGCAGTATACCTCTGTGAAAGCTGGTAGCAGTTATAACAACAAGAACTATTTTGTTTTTACAAGTGAAATGTATTGTGCACTGATAAGCAATAATATACTTTACTTTGGGGCCATTCCTACCAATTTGAATTGTTGCATAGAACGTAATGGGATGTTGGTCTCAAAGTACCTATTAGGAACCCCCAAATAACGAGGGTTTTTTTCGCATCACCACTGGTATATATTGTTTTGAACCGCGAACGGCTTTAGCCGTGAAGCTCTGTGATATTTAGAAGCGACAAATGCGAACCAAATGTTAGAAATTACTATCCCTGGCCAATATCAATGCGAAAGTTGTTGGGTGTTTAAAAATGAACTTTGTATTGACTATATTTAATTTCTTGTCTGTGCCAAATGAATTACAAAATTATGTCATTTTCTGTTGAGATGACTGCTTTTTTTAAAAACAGATTGGAATTAATAAATATGCTTGGTAGAGTTATCTGCCCTTTTCATGAAAGCTGGCAGCAGTTATAACAACAAGAACTATTTTTGTTTTTACAAGTGAAATGTATTGTGCACTGATGGGCAATAATATACTTTACAAATTTGAATTGTTTTCTGGAGTACTTAGGCCTGTCTTTCTTAAAATGTCAGTGTTTTTTGTGGGCAGATAGAATAGAATGAAAACTTGCTGTTGAGATAGAAAGATATACTGCTTGTTGCATTGCACGTAATCGTATGTTGGGCTCAAAGTACCTATTAGGACCCCCCCAAATAACGAGGGGTTTTTTCGCATCACCACTGGTATATATTGTTTTGAACCGCGAACGGCTTTAGCCGTGAAGCTCTGTGATATATAGAAGCGACAAATGCGAACCAAATGTTAGAAATTACTATCCCTGGCCAATATCAATGCGAAAGTTGTTGGGTGTTTAAAAATGAACTTTGTATTGACTATATTTAATTTCTTGTCTGTGCCAAATGAATTACAAAATTATGTCATTTTCTGTTGAGATGACTGCTTTTTTTAAAAACAGATTGGAATTAATAAATATGCTTGGTAGAGTTATCTGCCCTTTTCATGAAAGCTGGCAGCAGTTATAACAACAAGAACTATTTTTGTTTTTACAAGTGAAATGTATTGTGCACTGATGGGCAATAATATACTTTACAAATTTGAATTGTTTTCTGGAGTACTTAGGCCTGTCTTTCTTAAAATGTCAGTGTTTTTTTGTGGGCAGATAGAATAGAATGAAAACTTGCTGTTGAGATAGAAAGATATACTGCTTGTTGCATTGCACGTAATCGTATGTTAGGTTCAAAGTACCTATTAGGACCCCCCCAAATAACGAGGGTTTTTTTCGCATCACCACTGGTATATATTGTTTTGAACCGCGAACGGCTTTAGCCGTGAAGCTCTGTGATATTTAGAAGCGACAAATGCGAACCAAATGTTAGAAATTACTATCCCTGGCCAATATCAATGCGAAAGTTGTTGGGTGTTTAAAAATGAACTTTGTATTGACTATATTTAATTTCTTGTCTGTGCCAAATGAATTACAAAATTATGTCATTTTCTGTTGAGATGACTGCTTTTTTTTAAAAACAGATTGGAATTAATAAATATGCTTGGTAGAGTTATCTGCCCTTTTCATGAAAGCTGGCAGCAGTTATAACAACAAGAACTATTTTGTTTTTACAAGTGAAATGTATTGTGCACTGATGAGCAATGATATACTTTACAAATTTGAATTGTTTTCCGGAGTACTTAGGCCTGTCTTTCTTAAAATGTCAGTGTTTTTTTGTGGGTAGATAGAATAGAATGAAAACTTGCTGTTGAGATAGAAAGGTATACTGCTTGTTGCATTGCACGTAATCGTATGTTAGGTTCAAAGTACCTATTAGGACCCCCCCAAATAACGAGGGTTTTTTTCGCATCACCACTGGTATATATTGTTTTTTTTTTTACACAGATTGGAATGAATAAATATTGTTAATAGAGTTATCTGCCATTTTCATTTCCATTTCCAACAAAAACTGAAATGTCACCATTGCAAATGTACAGGCCTTTAATATCGAGACACTTATCTGTAGATTTAAGTTCACATTTCCAGCCTTGCAAGGAAGGGTCTATTCCCTCGTATGGTACGTAAAAGAGCC